AATGTAGTCAAAAGTCTAGCAACAAGACTGAACTCTATTACCAGTACTAGTTCATCAAGTAAATACAACTTTATTTATATTATATGAACACCAAAAATAATAAAGTCGTGTTGTAGAGTTTCTTAAATATGCGTAAAAAATAAAATACAAAGCTTAAGCTCTAACGACAATCAAGTAGAACTAAAGCAATCTCTAGATTTATTCCGGAAAAAACAACTCTTCTTATCAACAAAAAATATGTTTAATGCAAATATCTGCTGTAATTTAAAAGAGGCAAAACCAACAATGATCTGCGACCGCTCTAACGATGCCAATAATAGGTGCAACAACAAACGAATCGTTGACAAAATATTTACATAACAGTTTTGCACCTCCATCAAATAAATATATATATACATACCATTTTATATATATTTATTGTTATATATATACATATATACCTCGCATCTGTCTCTATGTGTGTAGGCAAAAATATTTGGAAACACGTTTTGGTTATTTAAATATTTTCACTAATTTGTGTGAATGCGAAAAAAAAATAAACACGAATTTCTCAAATCAATTGAAAAACGATACGCAACAACAACAACAACAACAACACATCACATATCATTAGCAACAACAAGAAAATAAATAAAAACGGTCGAACGTTCAAATTTAATCATTGGGCTTAATTAAAATCAACATGAGAATGAATTTTTTTTTCTTCTCAAATATTTGCTAAGTGGAGAGCAGAGAGAGAGAGGGGAGAGGCAAGCAGATGTAAACAGACGCTTTAAGACGGTTTTTTTTTTTGCGTCTGGTTCTGGGTCTAGTCTGCCTGGAGGCCACCAATGATAGTGCAACAACAACAACAACAACAACCATAACAGCAACAAGAGCAACTGGAAAACTATTTAGATTTAAGATCAACGATAAACGACGCATTAAACGTTGTCCGGCAGACTCGAGGCAACAGCCAGGCACACACCTGTCCCAGCAACAGTCACAACAACAACAACAACAACAACAACTAGCAGCAGCTAGCAACAAGTACTCAGTACTCATAGTTGTACTTGAGCCCAAGCCCAATCCCAAGCACAAGCACAAGCACAAGCCCAAGTCTAGGACCGGCCGCACCTCCACAGACTTTGCCTTTGCGCCGCGATCTGTCTGTCTGTCTGAGTTTTTAGTCTTATAAACCATAACAGAAAAGCAGCAGAAAGGTTGCTGGATCAGAGAATGAACGACTATGAGATGACCTGTAGCGATTCACACATCAAAATACTAAAGTTTTTATATTAATTATATAATATCTTGGGTAACATTACTGAGAACGATCTATCAATTGTTCTCAATTAATCATTAGGCTCTTAGCACATTTTATATAAAAATCGATTTTTCTTAAATTATTAATCTTAATATTAATATCACTAAGATCATCAATCTAGACATATCTATATAAGCAAGCTCTCGTACAACTACAATATACCCTTTATGCCTGTCTCTGTTTGAATGGGCACAGGGTATCAAAAACAAGCAAAGCTAGCGAACATCACATGACAAGCTGATGATGATCATGATGATCATAATGATGATGATGATGCAAGGAGGTCTCGAGACTAGCCAGCGGGTTTTTACTAGATCAACCAGTGAGGGTGAGAGCGAAGCCTAGCAAAAACAGAGAGAGAGAGGAAAAAAAAAACATTCAGCAAACACAAGAAAAAAAAACCTCAATCTCTCGAGCTTATCGCGCTTATCACATCGCCAACTGTCAGCTCGGCCAACAACAAGCTCAGCGAAGCAAATCCCTGGGGTTAATAATCATATGCATACAGTATAAGCACATTTCTATATATACATAAACATACATATATAAAGTCCAAAGACTCGGATTTGGTGGGTGGCAGATAGGGCTCATTGAAAACACCTGCTCAATAACTGGTTCAAGCTGTGAACTGGCGAGCTAATAGCTAACATGAACTGTGCACATGAACTATTTCAAAACTGCGACATCAAAATATTCGAAATATTTTTTGGGGAAATCCAAGGCGAATTTAATTGCAAGCGAATTCAGCATGATACGCCAATTAGCTAAGCACAAGACTAATCAAAGCAAAGAAAGAGGAAGAGAGAAAAAGAGTGAGGGGGAGAGAGAAGATAAGAGAGAGAGAGAGAGAGAGAGAGAGAGACGGAGAGCGGCAACACGTGTCAGCTTTCTGGTCACAAGGAGAGCTTTGCGCTTTGAGCGATTGGTCGATCTTATCAACTGCGCTTAACCCTGACTACATCAGTTTTTTTTTTTTCGTATTTATTCGCCCTTTGTCTTAATATTAATTTAATTTTTTTTTGGCAACTCGAAACGTGGTCAGCTAAACTTTTCGCGGAGCTATCAGGCTGAGTGTGAGCGAGATAAGATAAATGTATGTATGCCCAATATATGGATTACAACAACAAGAACAACAACAGCGAACGTGCCATACAAACGACCAGAAAAACACGCTGAAAGAGCCACAAACAAACAAAAAGCAAGCAAAACATTAACTAAAACTAAATTTTTATACAAAATAAACAGCATGAGAACACATACATTTACATATATACATATATTTAACGATTAAATTGTATATAAATTTTGATTATTTTTATGACAAGCAGCAAACAGCAGCAAAACCAGTTGAAACTGAATTTAAAAACATGAAATTTGCTCCCAAAAATATCTCTTTTTGCGCATTTCAAGATTCTTGAGTGCAAAAACACTTTGGCGGTTATGTAAGCAGCAGCAGCAGCAGCAGCAGCATCTGAGCGAAAGAAACACAGTGAGAGAGATAGAGGCTGGCAGCGAAAGTCAACAGGCGACGCAACTGCGACTGCGACTGCGACTGCGAGGGCTGCCAACTTGATTAGTCACACATAGGCGCCAATACAAGCCAAAAACCAAAAACAACAAAAATCAAAAGCTCAGCCGCAACTCTGCGAAGGGCGAAAAAGAAAAACAAAACACAATTACATACATACATACATATGTATAAAAAGGTCTGCCGACTGCTCAGTCAATGTCTGCGCCTCGTGACAACGTCAGAGGCGTTGTTATTGTCTTTGTTGTTGTTGTTGTTGCTGCTACTGCTGCTGCTGTCATCGTCGTCTATCACGTTCATTGGCATTTGAAAGCAACTTTGTTTGCATGCTGCGACCGTTTGGGGGCGCTCTGCGGTAACTACACCCAGCGCTGTCTGCCGCCGCTGCTTCTGCTTTTGCTTTTGCTTGTTATTGTTGCATACATACAAACAAAATGTTTGTGTATTCCTTTTTTGCGCAACGAAACGCCGCTGGCTATTGGCACTGCTGCGACTGCGCGGCGGCCCAGACAAGAGCAGCCGCAGCAGAAGCAGTCCAACAGAGACGAATAGAGAGCAGGAGAGCGGGAGAGCGGGAGACCGGCAAAGAGAGCGAACAGCAGCAGACAATCGTTAACCGGTTTGCGATTTATTTTTGCCCTTGCTATCCCTGCACTGCGCTATGCCGCCGGCTCTTTCAGTTAACCCTTTTGCTCATTATTATTAGCTGGTGCGAATCGAAAAAAGCACAGTCAACAATGACAAGCAAAAACAAAAATGAATAAATAAAGCAAAACATAAAAAACAACTATTCAAAAGCACAATCAGAGCAAACCAAATTGACTATCGATGAATTTTTGTTATCGAGTTTAAATTCATAAGGAGTTAATTGGCTAAATACAAAGAGAGCGACAAAGATAGAGATAGAGAGAGGATCTCATAAGCTGCATGCGCCTTCGCTCTCTTCCCTCTCTTCTGTTGCTCTTAATTTCTGCTCTACGCTATTTTGATCGATTCAACTAAATTGACAACTCAATTGTCGCCGCACATACTAAAAATAATCAACGTTCGTCATTGTTCTTCGCTGTTTGCCAGCAAACAGACGTCAGCAGCAGAGACAACTTGTCGTCGCTGCAGAGCGTCGACGTCGACGTCTTTGCCGTCACCGCCTCGGCCACGGCCACAGCAGACGCGCTGGCTGCAATCAGCAGTAAGACAAAAAAAATAGCTTTGGGCCAAACCAACAGCTAAAAAAAACTCTGGTATTTATTGTAATCCAACAAAAAAATCGAGTGCGCTGTTTAAGCATAAAATTAAGTAGTTTAAATAAATAAACACAACAAAAAAAAAAAAAACGAACGTGGCCGGATCAACAGCAATTTTTGTATATTTTTTGTTTGTGCAGTGAGGTAGATAAAGAGATAGCACATTGCACTGGCATTTAAATATATACATATACATATAAGAATACACTTAAGAAAAAAAAAAAAAAACCATTCGCATCCACACACTCATAATATATTATAATATTTGCATAATTTTAAATGCTGCGCATTTATATGTGTGTGCTACTCTGTCACGCCGCCGCAAATACGATATTGCTATCACTCTCTCATAGCATTTGACTTCGCCTTTTGTATTTTTATGAGTTTTTAACGGGCGCGCAAGCGACGAAATGTCGTTAAAGAAGATCGAATTGAATGCGAATGCGAAATGTGAATGAGAATAAAAGAACAACAACAACGAGAAGCAGAAGCAGAAGAAGAAGAAGAAGAGAAGAACAGCAGCAATGACAACCAAATATGGCGCCGCCTCAAACGCCGCCAGTGGGCGCTGCAGTAGCCGAAGGTGTGAAGCAAGCGACGGCGCTTTTCATTTCTGATTGGAGGCGAGCGAATTGAGAGCCCAAGCTGAAACATAATTAGAGGAACAGCGAGCTGCCAACCTAATTTATTTATTTTTCTTGTCAAAGCTTTAACGGTATTGAAATGCGTGATATGCGAAAATGCGTGAAGCATTTGTATTTAGAGCAAATGCGTGTGCTAACTACGCTGGGTAAAATCTGCAATCTTTTTTGCCAACAAGACTTTTCCAATTGGGCTCTTAAAAAGCTTATATTCGCATTGGAAATTTGATTGAACTGATTAGAATTGAAGTGAACAAATTTGTTCGTGTTCTGAACTCTTCTTATGCCCTTACCTTTCGCTTCTTGTGATCCAGTTCGCATTGCGCCTTGTGCATTTCCTTGAGTTCCACCTCCTTGAGCTGATCCAAAATACGTTGATATTTCTCTCGGTTCTCGACATCGAGCGCCACATGAAGATAATCATGCCAATTCCTTGAGTCGAAGCCCCAATGACAGGTGCGATTCTCCACCTTGCGATGCACATGACCCACGAATTTCTGTGGCGAAAACCAGCAATTGCATTCGAGACACTGAATGCACGTCGGCTTTTGATACGAATACATATCCGGCGTACAGATGCCCTCGCACTTGCCAAAGCACTTGTGATACACCTGAAAGCTGAGGGCGCCCTTGCCCAGGCTCTCGACGGGCACATAGCTGTTCCGATCGGAGCGATGCAGGAGCGCGGCACAGAGGCGTTCCGCATCGGTGCGTGTGATCAGGCCGCTGCCCTTCACATCCGATGGCAAAATCTTGGCGGCCTTGAACTCGACCAGTTGCTCGGGCGTGCACTGCGAACAGGAGATGCCCAGATCCTCGAAAATGCCATTGATCTGATCTAAAGTGAAATCGCTGAGCACATTGTTCAGAAACTGCGGCAGGCACAAACGCATTTCGCCGCCCATCGAGAAGCAGCCAATCGCCTTGCCCTCCAAGCGCGTCACATACAATTCGCCGCAGTCGGTGTCCGGCTGCGTTAGGATGGGCTGTGACAGTTCTGGCGGCAGCGGCAGCGGCGCTGCGTATATCGGCTGGTTCCGTTCGCTGTGAGCAGCGGAACCAGCGTTGGCGTTTGCCGGCTCATGCGTGTGCAGGTCATGTGGTTCAGGTGAGCTGCTTATTTCCTTTTTAATTAGAGCCACGGCGGGACCCTGCAAACTTTTCGTAGCGCTCGTTTGGTACTTTTTCAGCACGCTGCTGATCATCGGCGTTACGTATTCGGTCATCGCACAGTTATCGATAACACGCTCGATAGTTCACTCTATGGTTTATTGACGTTGTTTCTTCTGCTGCTACAAAAAAACTGTTGGGCGAGCTTTTACATTTTCGTTCAATATTTCAATTAAATTATTTTTACGTTTTATTTCTTTAGAACATTAACAATTTGGCACAATTGGTTGAACTTCATTTGATTTCGCGCATTTTTCCGGTTTTATTTTCGCTATCTTTATCTTTCTTTCAAATTAGGCGCTGCTGCATTTGCCGACGGCGCTGCGCTGCTTGGCGCTTGATGCGCCGCTAGCTTTTACATGCATTTGCATATGTATATTTGCCTATGTGTGTGTGAGTATGTTTTGAAGGCGCGCGTGTTGCGCTCTGTCAACGTCGACGCTGACGTCGCTGCAGGCGACGTGCACAATATTTTCGAAATTGTTGTCTTAATATATATTCTGCTGCTGTCGCTGCTGCTGCTATGACTTTGGTTGCTCTTGTTGGTGTTGTTGTTGTTGTTGTAGCGGCACTCACTTATTATTAAATTTTGCCATAAATTAATTTCCACTTCGTATGCTTAATATTTAACCGCACGACGCATGGCGACGCTGCCGAGACGGATACGGAGATACAGAGCAGAGCAGGGCAGACGCTGGCACAGACGAAGACGCAGGCCGGCAGACACAGACGCACACCGGCCGCACACAAACACACACACTGACGCGACCACACAGATACACACACGCACACTGAGATAGATTGGCTGAGCGGCAATCACACAGGCGTGCGCTGACTTCGACTGCGACGCCGACGCCGCCGCCTGACAATTGTGAATTGCGAGCCGCCTTGTTTGTGCACTATTTATAAACTATTTGAATTTATTTAATTTTTTCTCTTCTTGATTTCTTCTTGCTGTTGTTGTTGTTGTATTTTAATTAATTTTTCTTATTTTTGCATGCTGCTATTGGAATATTTATTTAGGAATTTTCGCTCTTTGGGTTGGCTCCTCTGCCACCATAAAAACAACACGAACTATCACACTCACGCACACTAACACGCGCGCACGCACACGCACACGCAAATATATGTATGTATATAAAGCCTGCACTCTGCAGCCGCGCACTCAAAATACACGGCGTTTACGTTTTCGTTTTGTTTCTTTGATTTGTTGTTGTCGCTGCTGCGCTCAACGCTTTTATTGTTGTTGTTGTTGCTGCTGCTGTGTCGTTATAGTTGTGCTAATGCCGAACTTGCCGTTACGCGTTCGCACGTGCGAGCTTTCTGACGACCGCCACAAAACTGTTGAAATGTATTCGCTGCGTAGCGGCAATTGCAAAGAGCGCACCACAGACGTATCTTTTTTCGCGCGCACTCTCTGGCACTGCTCTCCCACTCGTTCGCTCTTTAAACTTGCAGATACAAAAGACAGACGGTCTGGTCTCTCTGGCAAAGCACAGCCAACCACCATTTGCTCTGCAGCATTTGGCGGCCACTCTCTTCCATCTTAGAGGCGAATTTGCAAAGCGAATTTGCCAAAAACAAAAACAGGCAAACAATCTTGGATCTGTATAGAAGCTCATTAAATGATCGTCGCATTAATTATTTAATTAATTTAACTAAAGTTTAATTTATGACAGGGACACCAAATAATTTTTGTTGATATAAAAGAATTGGAAGACTAGCTTTAATTTGCAGAAAATAAATTTTATTTAAGCAATTTAGCCAAAAAGTTGCTCACAACTTTCATATTAGCCCTCGTAAAGAGTAATGTGTCTATGCAATCTAGAATGTTGCATCATGCTGCACATGTTGTCATGTCGCAGCAACATGTGTCTATACAAACAGCAACAGGGCAACTTGCGATTCATCGACAACTACAAATCGACAGAAATCGAACATGTCTATCGCACGCAAAATTGAGCTACTTAAAGTTGGCTGCGCGCAAAATTTGTGCTGCCAGCTAGTGAAAAACACATAGTGTTACACTCTTCGCACACTAGTGGTCAACTCTCTGTGCAGCGAACAGCTGTTTCTTGTTTTTAGCTGCTGATTGGAATTTGGGTAAATCTCAAAGAAAATGCATGAAAAAGCATAAATTACTGAGAAAAAAAACTGTAAGAGCTGTACTAATTGTGTTTTCCGACACTTGCAGTTAAGAGACGCAACAAAATGCCGGAGCCACGTAGCCCAATGGCCAGCTTTGCACAATCCGTGCAAAATGCTATCGATGGACCAATTACCTGGTTTCGCGGTAAATAAAAATACAAAATTGCTATGCAAATTGCATATGCAGTGAGTGCAGAGAGCAGGCAATTGCCAGCTGAATAGTTTTGAATATGCAATTTATGAAATTACATAATGACATAACCTCAAATCTAATGTCGGCTTTGTTTTTGTTTACATGCGCAGAGACAATTGTGGAGCCGAACCAACAGAAATCAAACTGGTATCATCAACGCTTTCGCCGCGTGCCTACCATCGATGAGTGCTACACAGACGATGCCGTCTGTCGCTTCGAGGCGGATCAGCAATTCCGACGCGATCGCTTGGTGGACAATGAGATTTTGACTATCCTGCGTCAGCGCTTCGAAGATTGCACCTTGTACGAGGCGCCCGATCACATGGTAAAGTGCAAGCCGCTGATGGATCAGTACCAGCAGGCTGCCGAGAATTGGTTTATCAAGTGTAAGAATCAAATCACATTCAGGGAGAATCTGTAATCTTTGCTCACATTTTTTCTCTTTGCTTGCAGATGGCGATTTGGGCGGCTATGCCAATGCCAAGACCGCTTACATGAAGCAGAAGCATCGTTTGATCTGGGAACGTCGCCACGGTCCCGTTGGCAGCGGCATGAAGGATGACGAGCAAATACC